TCCACCTGGTCCTGTTCCTCCTGTGTCTGTTTCTCCTATGTCTGTTCCTCCTGTGTCTGATCCTCTTGTGAGTAATCCTCCTGTGACTGATTCTCCTGTGATTGATACATCAAGTACACCAGAGATACGAAAGATTATGACACCTGAAAGAAGGAAACAACCCACATTGTCTCAGCAACAACCTCAATCGTCTGAACCACTGGTAAGTCCTGAATCTCATATTGTTGATCATGATGTTAATACTTCTGATGACTTACCCATTACTACTGATTCTGATGATTTACCCATTGCTCTTAGAAAAGGAAAAAGAGCTTGTCCCAAGAAATCTTGTCCTTCATGTCCCTCTTGTACTCAATACCCTATCTCCCAGTTTGTTTCCTCTGCTAATCTTTCTGTGCAGCACAAAAGCTTTGTTTCAGCACTAGACTCTATTGCAATCCCAAAATCAGTACATGAAGCCTTGAAAGATAGGAATTGGGCTCAAGCCATGCAAGAGGAGATAAATGCATTGGAGAAAAATAAAACATGGGAGGTTATTGATAGACCTACTGGAAAGAAAGCAGTAGGGTGCAGATGAGTTTATGCCCTGAAATATAATTCTGATGGAACTCTTGAGAGATACAAAGCTCGATTAGTTGCTAAAGGTTACTCTCAAACCTATGGCATTGATTATGAAGAAACATTTGCTCCAGTTGAAAAGATGAATACAGTGAGAGTTTTGTTATCCCTTGCTGCCCATTACAATTGGGATATAAACCAATTTGATGTGAAGAATGCTTTCCTCAATGGTGAGTTAGAAGAAGAAGTCTACATGGAAATTCCGCCTGGTTTTGATTCTGTGAAGAGAGAAAATAAAGTTTGTAAATTAAAAAAGACCTTGTATGGATTGAAGCAGTCACCTCGTGCCTGGTTTGGAAAGTTTACTAAGGTTATGATGACCTTAGGATATAAACAAAGTCAAGGAGATCACACTCTTTTTTTCAAGCACTCCCAAAATGGGAAGCTTACTGTGCTCCTTGTATATGTTGATGATATTATTATCACATGTGATGATTTTATGGAGAGACAGATTCTGCAAACACGGCTTGCCTCTGAGTTTGAAGTCAAAGACCTTGGGAAACTGAGATATTTCCTAGGGATAGAAGTAGCTCATTCGAGCAAAGGAATCTTTATCAGCCAGAGAAAATATGTTCTAGATCTTCTCAAAGAAGCAGGAAAGCTCGGGTGTAAACCCTCTAATACTCCTATTGAGCAGAATCACAAGATGGGCTATGAAGAGGAGAGTCCTCCAGTTGATAAAGGACAATATCAACGGCTAGTTGGGAAATTGATATATTTGGCCCATACTAGACCAGACTTAGCTTATGCTGTTAGTGTTGTCAGTCAGTTTATGCACGATCCAAAGGAGAAACATATGCAGACAGTAGAGAGGATTCTTCAGTATCTGAAAGGTACTCCTGGTAAAGGGTTGTTATTCCGACGTGATGGCAATCTATCTTTAGAAGTCTACACAGATGCTGATTATGCTGGATCCGTGACTGACCGTCGTTCTACCACTGGTTATTGCATGTTTCTTTGTGGTAACTTGGTGACATGGAGAAGTAAGAAACAAGATGTGGTCGCCAGATCAAGTGCAGAAGCTGAATTTCGAGCTATGGCTCAAGGCATTTGTGAGTTACTGTGGCTGAAAATTGTACTTGATGATCTAAAAATAAAATGTGAGGGACCTATGAAGCTGCTATGTGATAATAAGTCCGCTATTTGTATAGCTCATAATCCAGTTCAACATGATCGGACTAAACATATTGAGGTCGACCGCCATTTCATCAAAGAGAAACTTGATAGCGGGTTGATTACCACTCCATACATTCCCACTGGGCGTCAATTAGCTGATCTATTGACAAATGGGCTTCCTTCAGATAGATTTCAAGAACTTGCTAGCAATCTGGGAATGATAAATATCTATTCCTCAGCTTGAGGGGGAGTGTTGTAAATAGTAATTATGTAGTCATTTATTAGTAATTATGTAGTCATTTATTTGTATTAAATAGTAATTATGTAGTCATTTATTAGTAATTATATAGTCATTTATTTGTATTTATTTAGTCCGTTATATATTGGGCCAAGCCCATTAGGTCAAAATTAGGTCAAGAAGTCTCTATAAATAGAGACCCCTATGTACAGATTCAAATACGATTGAATAATATTTCAAATACCCTTTTATATCAAGTAAATGACTTATTAAAATTAAAATACAAAATACAAAATTAACATTAACATACATATTATATAAGTCAATGTTCAAAGTTAACACCAATTATTTTTCAATCCTACAAATAAATTATTTTATTTAATTCAATATTATTATTTATTGTATAATTAACAACTTATTAACTACATAAATAGACACATTAACATATAAAAATATAACCTGTCTAAATCCTATTAATAAATAATGCATATAAAATAATAAATTATTAGATTTATTAAACTATAAAATATTTAACTACTTAAATTAACATGCAATTACTAAACTATTAATATTAGAATAATTCAAATAATAAAATAAATAATATGTCATCTAACCTAATGTGTCATAACATTAATCATAAAAATTATCTTACCCTAAAACCTATAAATAAATAACGCATATAAAACAATTTATTACATACATTAATTAAACAATATGTTATTTAACTACTAACATTAAAATGTAATTACTAAACTACTAATATTAAACTAATTAAAATAATAAAACAATTAAATTAAATAGATTAATTAAACTATAAAATATTTAACTACTTAAATTAACATGCAATTACTAAACTATTAATATTAGAATAATTCAAATAATAAAATAAATAATATGTCATCTAACCTAATGTGTCATAACATTAATCATCAAAATTATCTTCTTCTAAAACCTATAAATGAATAACGCATATAAAACAATTTATTACATACATTAATTAAACAATATGTTATTTAACTACTAACATTAAAATGTAATTACTAAACTACTAATATTAAACTAATTAAAATAATAAAACAATTAAAATGTCATCTAACCTAATATTTTATGTTACATATAATATATTAAACAACAACTAATTAACAATAAACAAAAAATAAAAATTAATCAAATGATACATCACTAACCTCAAATGAAGACTTAAGACCAAATGTGAGAGCAAGGAAATTAAGAGAGAGAGAGAGAGAGAATTAAGAGAGAGAGAGAAAGAAAATGGACGTATGAAAAGGAGAGGGGGGTGTTTATATAGCGTGAAAATGTAGCCGTTGGGCACAGGTCGCCTGCGTGGGCAGCGACCTCGCTCATGCACGCCACGCGGCCTGGCTGGTCAGGCATTAATTGCAACAGAGGTCGCCTGCGTCAGTCGCGACCTCTCTTGCATGCACGCCACATGACCTGGCTGGTCAGACATTAATTGCAACAGAGGTCGCCTGCGTCAGTCGCGAACTCTGACACCACCAGGAAGCTGACAGCTCAGCATTACGAGGTGGCTACTACTCTCAGCGAACTAGCCCGCGTGGCAGTTTGGAAAAAAAGTTCAGGTGCGTAGCATTTAGGTAAATAACAGTGAGAACAGTGGCACAATGGTCACTGTTCCTGCATTTTCCCTCTTTCACTCTCCCAAATCAACTTTCAAGTTTGCATTTCTTTCAAACATATGAAAACCCACTTAAATTTTAATTGCAAAACCTTACCCAACCCAAACAGAAATTGCAATGTTTTTAAAATAAAAAACAATAGCTGGATTCTAGTGTGGGGCCATGGTGGAGATTTGCTGCAACGGAGGAGTCTTGAGTGCCATCCAAAAGTGCTGTTGGAGATTTTGTCTTCCTTAACATGAGTTAGTGAGTGCCATAATAGGGTTTGATAGAATAACCACTTTGTTGACGATTTTCTGACAATGATTGGCATGCAAATTTCTCAGACTCTATCTTCTTCATTTTGAAATCTTTGAATTGAAAGAATTCCAATTATACGCAATCTTTTCATTTTCATATTTTGAATGTTATGGTTACTAAAGGAAATGGGTAGAGCGATGGAAGAAGATAAAAGTGACATTCTGTCAGAGCATGACTTTTTAGTACTTTATGAAATGTGATAGCTATTGTAAAGACAATAATCTCTGAGGATAGACTCGCTAATTTCGAATACCGACAATTTCGAATAATAACACGAAAAACTTGTTACATTGCACACCAATACAAGAAAAGTATAACACGAAAAACTTGTTACACATTGCGCACCAATACAAGAAAAGTATAACACGAAAAAGAAAATATAAAAAAATAAATAAGAGAAGGGATAATTTATGTTAATTACTGTTTTAACTAACGTAAATGAAAAAAATTCAAGTATAATGAGCTCGATTATATAAAATTTTGGTAAAAGTGTAACCGGATTAAAAAATTAAAGACAAAATTCATTTGAAGGGCTTTAGTGTCCATAAATGCATAAAATTTAGTATTAAACATCACAATTTATTTCAACCATTTTTTTTATGAGATAAGATATTATATCTATTTTTTTATGTTTATTTTATTTACTTTTCACTAATATTGTTAGATTAAAATTTTAAGACAGATAAAATAAATATTGAAATTCTGATTTAATAATATTAAAAAGAAAAAATAAAATAAGTACGAAAAAAATGACATAATTGTATTAAAAAAAAAGAAAGATGACATAATATTATCGTCGCATTCTTTCCATGATAGACGAGGATAATCTCTAATTACTTGATTTGGCAAAACTGCTTTATTTGGAGACACCAAACCTTATACCTCTCTTAAAAGTAAAAAAAGAAAAAGAAAAGGGATTTACTCGAACATAAGGGGAAAACAACAATAGATAGATAGATGAAACGACCGAAAAGGTTATAAACTATGGGGAACAAAGCATAAGAGGGTATATACTGATTTATAGGTTACACCATAGCCATAGCCATAAGCAATAGCAGCAATTCCAACAACTTATCACCAGCTTTGGAGCTTTCGACTATTCTCTTCTTCTCTTGTTTCCATTGGATTCATTCATTCATCAAACAATGACCAAGAAAAGGGAGAAGAAAGCAGAGGCACTTCAGCGTCAGAATCCCAAAGTCGATGAAGTTACCAGGATTCGCATTTCCCAGATTTTAGAAGACTTTCGAGCCTCTAAAGATGAAGGTTATCCTCTAACTATTCATCTTTTTTTTTCCACTACTTTTTCATGGTTTGATGCAGAAAAACATGATATGGTGCGTTTATTTCCTCGAAGAAAAACCGTTCTTGTGGTTCATGGGTCTTTTTTGAACCTGTGTTTCATTTGGATTGGATATATGCATTTGGGTATTTGCTTTTCTGGTTAGAGTTTGAATTTTGCTTGGGTAGTTCATATCACGCTGAAAATCTATCTCGGAAGGATGATTGCATTAGTATATCTATCTATTCATGAAAACTCGTTTCTGTTTTTTTTTTGTTCTGCAGTGTACAAGTTTGATGCTAGTTTGTCCAACCAAGAACGTGCTTTAGTACATCAAGTATCCCAAAAAATGGGGTTTAGATCTAAAAGTTCTGGGTGAGTGCTACGGGGCAGCACACATAAAATTGCCCTTTTAAATCAGTGAGAATTATAGTCGTAGTTCCTGTATGGAATACGTTCGGTTCAGTTTTACGAGTTCGAGTTGTTTTATTGATATTGAGACTCCGATTTGTGTAGGCTTGGGAAGGAAAGGAGTGTGTGTATTCAAAAAATCAAAAAGAAGGTTGACACCAATAATGGGTTTGGGAGTCTTCCTCATTTCACATTTTCTGAAGAGGCGAAGCAGGTATTAGGAGATTTGTTTGCTCATTATCCACCTGGTGATGAAAACATGTGGGACATGATTGGAGAAAATAGTGACACTACTGACGAAACAAGACAAAAGAAGGATGATATTTTTGGCAGGCCCTCTATGACCAAAGCTGAAATTGCTAATAAATTGGAAGCTCTTGCTTCTAGAATGATGACTGTCCCTAACTTGAAACAGGTCCATTTCCCCCCTCTACTGTCAACTTCAAAGACCTTGTATTTGAATTTTGTTGGCTGGATGCTGTACTATTGTTACTCCTCTTCTGCAGTATGTGTAGCACTTCCAAAAGAATAGTCTTGTTATTGAATCGTTTATTTGATTTCCATTCCTGCAGATCACTGAAGAGAGATCTAAGCTTCCAATTGCATCTTTCAAGAATAATATTACATCAACTGTTGAATCTTACCAGGTTAATTTAATATTTTGCTTTGTAAAATTGCCGTTGGACATGCATCTATGTGGTAGCTTGGTTGCAGCTTGCACCATAATTAAGCTTATCTGATATCGCGTTGACATGTTAAATATATCTAACATAGTTTAGTAAGACTTAGTTTTTAATCCATTTCAACATGACAATTAAATTAATTTGAAGATTAGTTTATTGCATGTGTTTGGTCTTAATATTCCTTTTATGTGTTTCAAAGCAGGTAGTTCTCATATCTGGTGAGACTGGTTGTGGAAAGACTACACAGGTTACCAATTCTTTGCTTTGTCTTTATTATGGCACAGCTATATTTACGTATAATTTGTCAGCAATTGTTTCAAAATGATCATTTTTTAGTCATATGTTAATGTTTTTATGATTGGTTATTTAGTGTGTATGCTTGTGATCATAGTTATTAATCCTGGGTAGTAGCCTACCCCAAAAATGCTAGCGGTGTAGCGGCTATAGCTAAGTCCACATAAATGTTATATTAAATTATACTACGCATATATAAATGCTCATAAATAAAAAATTACCCAAAATTAGAGACATTCACTTATAATTAATTCCGTTGTCGCTTTCATTGAGTCAAGAAACATAATGGAAGCAACAAAAATTCATTGAGAGGAACTAAATTAACAACATTCAAGGAACATATAGGAAGGATCTAAATACTGGAGCTGAACAAAGAGCAAGAAAATCTGGGAAGATACTTACTGGAAATGTGAAAAATATGTTTATTTGACAGCTCATGATAAATTACAGGTGGAGGATGAGTCCAGCATTATCTTTACAGGCTAGTTGTGTGTCGTTACAAACATTGGTGAATGGATTGCCGTAAAATAGAGGAGATAATTCACCGATCTTGATGGGTCACAGGAAACAGAGTCAAAGACAGGAGGGAGTGGGCTTGCCAGTAGACTGTTGGAAATGAGTCGCAAGATTGGAGAGAGGCAGGAGGAAGAGTGAGATGGTTGCAAGAGTGAGAGAGGACGGTGAGTCGAGATTGAGAAATAGGCATACCAGATAGGGTTTACATCTTAAAAAAGGGGTAAAATTTGATTATACTCCCTTAGAAGTGATTATTGCCATTCCAGATAGGCTCAACCTTTGGTAATTGAGGATACATTGATAATTTCTTGATGCTTTCTGATTTTGGGTTTCCCCATGAATACTTTCATCACTGATATGGTCCAAGATCTTTTAATAATCTTTCAATTCTACGTGAAACATTTCTCTTTCTCTTGTCCATTGTCCTGTTTAACTTAATATTATACATGATTCAGGTCCCACAATTTATTTTGGATCATATGTGGGGCAAGGGTGAGGTATGTAAAATAGTTTGCACTCAGCCTCGGCGTATCTCTGCAACTTCAGGTGTGCAACTCTTTCAAACTTAATTTTCTCAATTTTCTCAATTTTCCTGTTTTAGTCTTAATTAAAATTTGTTTTCTCTTCCATTTCTATGCCTAGTTTCTGAGAGAATCTCCAGTGAGAGAGGAGAAACTATTGGAGAAAATGTTGGATATAAGGTAATATAATTTCTATATCTTTGGTAGTAATGGTACTGTGGTCCTTTCTTGGGATTAGTTTTTACTTTTTATTTTTAAAGAAATTAGCTGTTTGAACGTTGAACATTGTTATAATAATCAGGCCAGTTTTATTTTTTATTTTTATGCGTATGTATCATACACACTCACAATGCTCTCAATTTTTTGATCAATACTGGGGAAGAAATCTATAAAATGTTGTTACTACCAAGAAGTATGAATTTTCCCTGTCAATGGTTCAATCTACAAATATCTTTTCTCCATTCTCATATCATTTTGTAATATCCCAGAAAAATAATAGTAATTTATAATAATAATAAATTAATAATAATAATAATAAACTATAAATTAGTAGTAATAATATATATATATATATATATATATATATATATTTGATGGTTATAGATAACAAATTATAATATAAATTTTACATTTGGTAAAATGATTGTGCGATACATGTGCGATATAAGTGCTATTGGAAAATGATTTTGATACTTTGTAATACTCAGATTATTAATAATAAAATAATATTAATAATATATATATGAGTTATAACGACTCTGATATTTCTAGTTAGTCATAAATATTATGTATCAAAATGTAGTCTTTGATTTTATGTATTAGAGTTAGCCTTGCACTTGTCCCTGTACAGGTGCGGCGGTAACATTTCTCCAAATTAGTTTTAGATTAGCTTCCGCAATATTTTATATTATCATAAAAATTAGTTTTAGTTTTAGATGATATTTATGTACTCTTAATAAATAATTAAATGTTATTTTTGACAATTTTTCTATTATAAAAATATTTTATGATTGTTAAAATTGTTAGAAATTTGGGAGTGTTACACATTTTCTTTCTTTTATAGAATTTATGACTTGGCTCTTCAACATTCAATATCCTATGCTGATTATGCAAATTCCATTGCAAGTAATGGTTACCTTGCTTCTTAGAAAAACATTGCTAAATTTTCTATCGGTTTTTTACATCTCATACATTTAATTCTTTGGCTTATATTTTAAACAAACAACCAGATACGGTTAGAAAGCAGAGGTGGAAGACAATCATCAATTGTGCTATGTACTACTGGAATTCTATTAAGGATGTTGGTTTCTAAAGGTTCTCATTTGTCTAAGATGGGGCCTGTGAAGGATGACATTTCTGGCATCACTCACATAATTATGGTACTTTTATTTATTTATTTATTTATTATACTTCAGTTAGAGCATAAACGAATGGTAGTTAATCAGTTAATCTCGGGTAAATACTTTATGTTCTTGCATGTTCTATGCCATGTTTTTTCATTTTGAGTAATTGTTTATTAGGTATGACTGGTAACTGGTAAGTTTTCAAGTACATTAATTAATTGGAAATTAGAACTGGCTAGGCAAATCTGTTAGAATCTTAGATGTTATGTATGAAATTGTTGTAGAATTAGAAGTGCTGAGCTGCCTCATCATTTTTTAGTGATTGGTATGAACCTTGAACAAATTCCTTTGTTTGAGTGAAGTGACTAAACCAGAGCCTATAGCATCAATGTACCATGATATTGTATGGCTGATGATGAAAGTTGCAAATCTTGATATTATTATTTAATTAATTCTAAAAATAGAAAAGTTATCACAGGCTTAATTATTGCATAGTGCTGGCAATTGTGTGTGTGAAAAATTGTAAAGGTGTTCTGTAAATAGTGACTATATACTATATAGAAAACAGACCAATACACAGTTCAGTCTTAGAATCATTGGTTTTGTGGTCTGTTGAGGAATGAGTATCCACGAATAAGCTGCGATGATAGTTGTAATACTTAGATGGGAAAAGTAATTTGAAACTTTCCTATTATTCTCTTAAAGCCTTCGTTATGAGAACTGAGAAGTGAATTCAAATGTCTTCATATATTAAGTAGAATCTTGGCATATGTGAAGCTTATACTGCGCATCCTTTCCTTGGAATGTATGCATTGCAAAATGAGGTGACATTCATTTCTTGTTCAGGATGAAATTCATGAAAGAGACCGATACTCAGACTTCATGTTGGCAATCATCAGGTATACTACACCGTTGAAAGGAACTTGTTAGCCTTTACTTTCTAGTGGGATATGGTCAAATACAAATTTATGATTGCTTGTGGCCCAAGTGAGAGTAAAATTAAACTGTTGGTTTATATACCTAATTTTTGGGTAGAGCTGATCTTTGATGAGCACATTTTTTTTAGCCAGAGTGTTGTGGCAATAGCTTCACTGTTATATTTAATCCTCCCTCCCAAAGAAAAAAGATTATATATAAAATCACTCGCTTAAGATGTTTGTCTGGTTTTCGGACTAATATCTCTGATTTTTGGCAACTTACATGCAGAGACATGCTACCTTCAAATCCTCACCTACGTCTGGTCAGTTCAAAGTTATTACATTTATATTTTTCTTTCTCTATTTCTCTGTCATCCTGTCAAGTGCTTGTTTTATTTATATGCATACTATTTCCCTTTTTGACCAATATTTTCACCCTTTTATCTTTTCTCCGGTGCTCTAATATTACAGATATTAATGAGTGCTACCATTGATGCTGCGAGATTTTCTCAATATTTTGGAGGCTGCCCAATTATCAATGTTCCAGGGTTCACTTATTCGGTACCTATACAGAAGTAGACTGTGAGTTAACTAATACTTTATCACATGTTACTACAAGCTCTTCGTGTTCTTTGTTCAGGTCAAAACTTTCTATTTGGAGGATGTACTTACTGTTGTAAAACCAAGCAATGATAATCATCTTGATAGTACCACATTTAGTACTCCAATAAACAATCTTGAGCTAAGTGAAGAAGAGAAGCTTTCTTTTGATGAAGCTATTAATTTGGCTTGGTCTAATGATGAGTGGGACCTGCTGTTAGAGTTGGTTTCTTCTGAAGGAACCCCAAAACTATTCAATTACCAGCATTCTTTAACTGGCCTTACTCCATTAATGGTGTTTGCTGGAAAAGGGAGAGTGGGTGATATGTGTATGCTCTTATCTCTTGGAGCAGATTTCAGTTTAAGGGCCAAAGATGGAACAAATGCACTGGAGATTGCCGAAAGGGAAAACCAGCCAGAAGCTGCTGAAATATTGAAGAAGCACAGTGATAATGATTTTTCTAACTCCATGGAAGAGGAGAAGTTGCTTAATAAATATATTGCAACGGTCAACCCTGAACTTGTTGATGTTGTTCTGATAGAGCAGCTGATAAGAAAATTATGTTTTGATTCAAAAGATGGAGGTATCCTTGTTTTTCTTCCTGGCTGGGATGATATAAATAGAACACGTGAGAGATTGCTTGCATCCTCTTTTTTCAAGAATACCTCAAAGTTTATGGTCATATCTCTGCATTCGATGGTTCCAACTATGGAGCAAAAGAAGGTTTTTAGGCGCCCACCTCATGGTTGCCGCAAAATTGTTCTCTCAACCAATATTGCTGAAACTGCTATCACCATTGATGATATAGTGTATGTCATAGACACTGGACGGATGAAAGAAAAAAGTTATGATCCTTATAATAATGTGTCAACTCTTCAGTCATCTTGGATTTCAAAAGCAAGTGCTAAGCAGCGAGAGGGGCGTGCTGGCCGCTGTCAACCTGGAATTTGCTATCATCTGTATTCAAAGATTCGAGCAGCTTCCTTGCCAGATTTTCAGATTCCGGAAATTAGGAGAATGCCCATTGAGGAGCTTTGTCTGCAGGTATTCATCTTCCTTAATTGTTAATGCAGAATCTTGTTGCTTATTATACTTCATGATAAAATGGTAAAAAGAAAAATATGAAAATGGCACAGTTTTTAATGCTCCATCATGGAGTTCACACTAATTCGACCAGTCTATTTCCTGTTTCTAATCAAATTTTGTTCTGATTCTCTCATTCATTTTTATTCTCGATTTCTCTCTCTTTGCTAGATTAAAGGGTGTTGTTGGATAACATCAAGTGGTAAGGACCAATCATTTTTAGGTCAATAAGCACGCCAACTCATTATTCCTAAATTTTGAATTTTAGAATCAGTTTTGAATAAGATTTAAACCAAACTAAGCTTAATTTTAAACTAACTTGTTATTATATATTAGAAAATATGTAATTTAAATTGTACTGTACTGTACTGTTGTCGTATCTCTCTGTATTTGTACTGATGGTCTTTTATGTAAGCCTCTAGTGTGTCAGGTGCCACAGCACTTAGAGGAGCTGATCTACTTCAGCTGTTAGCTGTTGGTTTGTTAAGCCAGGTCTGTTAGTTTGTTATGACAGCTGGCAATTCAGTTCAGATCTGTTACCGTAATATAAAGTGTGAGAAATAGATAGAAAGTACAAGAACAAGGAGAGTAAAGAAAAGTGAGAGAAATCGGATGAAAATGAGAGAAAATAGAGAGATGACTGAGAAATTTCTGTATATTCAGCTGATATTAAAGTTAGATCACTCTGAATATGGAGGATCTATTTATAATGTACATAGGTAGCTTGCTGTGCAAACTTGGAGTACTGACTAAAACTGAGATAAGATGTACCTGATCTAAATAACATAACAAAAATCTAACAGCCTAACTGGAGTGACATAGACACTATAGACTCTGTTACAGGAGATGCAATTCGAAAGAACATTGTGCATCAGTTTGTAGCAGTTACAAGATAGTACAAATACATCAGAGAAAGCACATTCTCCTATATATATATATATAGAGAGAGAGAGATTCAGATGATTTCTGAGCTTCTGTTATTATTCAACTTGAGTCTCTCTGAATGGCAGAGAGCTCTATTTATAAAAATAAGAACCCAAAAACTTAAGCTGTTTGGTGAAGGTCATATCAATGGTTTTATATTATATTTTTCTAACATGTTGCCTCACGTGTTAATTTTGATTGTCTCTTTCTCTCTCTTGTGACAGGTAAAGTTGCTTGATCCAAGCAGCAAAATAGAAGAGTTTATTGGCAAGACATTAGATCCTCCAGTTTTTGAGTCCATACGTAATGCTATTATAGTTCTTCAAGATATTGGTGCATTGTCACTTGATGAAAAACTTACCCAGCTAGGGGAGAAGCTTGGTTGTCTTCCTGTTCACCCATTAATCAGCAGGATGCTTTTTTTTGCTATATTGATGAACTGCCTTGATCCAGCTTTAACTCTAGCATGTGCATCTGATTATAGAGATCCATTTACCCTCCCAATGTTACCTGAAGAAAAGAAGAGAGCTACAGCTGCCAAATCTGAGCTTGCTTCTTTATATGGGGGTTGTGGTGATCAGTTTGCTGTAATATCTGCATTTGAATGCTGGAGTAATGCAAAGAAAATGGGTCTAGAAGCACGGTTTTGTTCTCAGTATTTTGTGTCTTCAAGCGCCATGCACATGTTATCCGGCATGCGTAGGCAACTCCAAACAGAACTCATTCGAAATGGTTTTATTCTTGAAGATGTTTCAAGTTACAGCATGAATGCATATGACCGGGGTATACTGCATGCGGTTTTGGTAGCAGGTTTGTATCCAATGGTTGGGAGATTTTTACCAAATAAAAATGGAAAAAGGGTTATTATTGAAACTGCAAGTGGTGATAAAGTTCGCCTGCACAGTCATTCAACAAATTGTAAGTTGTCATTCAAGAAAAATATAGATCACACTTTGCTAGTGTACGATGAGATTACCAGAGGTGATGGGGGTATGAATATAAGGAACTGCACTGTTGTTGGACCACTTCCCCTCTTACTTCTATCAACAGAGATTGCTGTTGCTCCAGCAAAAGTTGATGATGGGGATGAGGATGATGAAGGGAGTGAAGATGAAGTTGGAAGTGAAGATGGGATGGAGGTTGATGACAAGTCCAGTGGACACTGCGAGGATAAGTTTATGTCTTCTCCTGATAATATGGTTAGAATAATCATGGACCGTTGGCTTTATTTTGGTTCGACAGCAATCGATGTTGCTCAGCTATACTGCTTGAGAGAGAGATTATCAACAGCAATCTTATACAAAGTAACTATCCTAATTTTACTTGTCTAGTTTTATCCATACCGTTCTTTTTTCTTAGAATATTCTTGACACTTGAGAGTTTATATTTTCAGGTGACACATCCAAGGAATACACTTCCTCCTATCCTAGAGGCCTCTATATATGCTCTCGCTTGCATTCTGTCTTGTGATGGATGCTGTGGCATACCAGTGACGTTAGATGGTGTGGACACACTGACCACTATGGTAAATGCAACAAATCTAGGCAAGCCAGCAACAGGGACAAAGCGGTTGGGTAAGATTCCAAAAGGATTCCTTGCAGAGTTTGTAAATAATGACGGACGCCATACCTCTGGGCCCTCTTCTAAAGCTAGCATTGCTGCATTCAAAAACAGAGGAAATCCAAGTGGGATCTATCCCAAACCATACCCTCCTTTCACATGATAATGGTTCAAACGGAAGTTAAAGATGGTTTTATTATTCTAATGTATGTTTTACAGGAAGATCAGTATTGACAGGAAACTTTGGCTAGAAAATCTCTAACTTAAAAAGGTTGCTTTCAGCTTATATAGAATACAAATCCTATCAGTTCAGTGTATATAGTCATCCTTTAACCCATTCAAAATTCTAGTGGGATATGAACTTTTAACATGTAAAATAGAATGTAGAATAATTAATGAATCAAATATTACAAAATCAAAAAGAGATACGAGATTCATGCGCTGATAATCCGGCCCAAATATCTAGTGTGTCAGCAATAACATGAGCCTTCTTATGTTTTTGAAAGTTACACAAATTTTCTTGAAATACTGCTCTGCTGGTCAGCTTCATAGACCTTAAATCTATGGTCATCCTCATAGAGGAACTTAGGAAACATGTCAGTTTTTCAACAACTGACCATGTTGTTAATGTCTCTCCATACAACAAAAGCAAACAAGAAAATGACAGTCATAAGCTTGTCTCCATATTTGATCAATTGATCAACCCGATTACGTCTCTCAGTTAGCCTCAAAAGAGTTTGATATCCCCATTATATTGAGAACATCCAATGCTCTTTCCTATGTGTACTCTGCACCAAGATATAAAATCAAATAAAACGGTGTATCGGCAACGATACCAAAAGTAATATCAATACATCACTAATTATCACTAGTGTTACCGTTCTAAAAAAAAAAAACATTCTGGATAGTAATTTAGCTTACAACGGAGAAGAACATTAACATCTACCAAGTTTTTCTCAATTAAAAAACAGAAGCTACAATTAAAGACATCAAAACCAACAAAGCTTGATAGATGAACACTGGGGACATCATGCGATTCTTAAAAAACTTACACACTTTCTTAGTATTGCATAAAATGCATGATACGTGGGGAAAGTACTGGATTAAGCTTTCATGATTACCCCTTAATTTAGATGGAAGGTTAATAAATAGTGCGGTAAGAATTATTTACAGTTGAAAGCAAAAAGGAGAAAGAGAGGACTTAAATGTTTAAGATGTCAACATTTCGGAAGAGACCAAAATAGAATGAAAAGAACACTAGAGACACAGAAAGCAGGGAATCACCAGCACCATTACATTTTATACCTGCTCAGATGCTGAAATGCAAGTATCACGAACTGCTACTTGAAATCCGAATGGGTAGAGTGCATCACCTAAGTAAACTATTGCAACAGACCACATTCCAACTTAGACTACACCACCTTGGATACATAATTTGTCTTGACATTTATAAGTCCCACATTGTCTAGAACATGAAATATTTCAGTCTATATAAATCCTCTGACATGAGTGTCAGCATGCCGAGTTGGGTTGCTCCAACTTGTAACCCATGTGGGGGCACCAAGTTGATGGAACATGGTTCAGGCCTACTTAGGTAGGGTTGGAAGCTGCATTGTGTTGGCCTGCCCGCTCCAAGTCGAGAGTGGAGCCATGGGGTTTGAGCGAAGGCACAGATCTCTTGGCCCCTAAACAGAAGGGAACCGCGTAAGGCTGGCTTCACAGAGCAGCGACAACTTTCGGCTCCTGACAGTGGAGGGATTACAGGCTGCTGCACTTCTAACCGAAAATGCCTGGTGAACCTAGCCTCTTGAACCATCAACTTTTTGGAGAAGGTATCTACGTAGTGTAATTTTGATGGTTGAAAGAGATTAACCGTTTAACTGAAGTTATATATAGGTGTAATTGATGATGGCTCATAGAAATATTATAGTAACAATATAAAATTTTTATGCCTATAACAATACTTCTTTTGATGTTAATCCATTCATATTTGAAATCATATCTCAAGTGAAAGTAATGTTTGATATATCATAAATCATATCTATGTAGTGTAATTTTGATTGTTGAAAGAGGTTAACCGTTTAACTGAAGTTATATATAGTTGTAATTGATGATGGCTCACAGAAATATTACAGAAACAATATAAATTTTTTATGCCGATAACAATACTCCTTTTGATGTTAATCCATTCATATTTGAAATCATATCTCAAGTGAAAGTAATACTTGATATATCATAAATCATAATTATAAGAATTAGCAGAGTGAATTTCAGCCATCTCACATGATTAGAACCGTGATGAATTAATCTTGTGGAGATTTGGTTTTACTCTTTAAACACCTCTAAATATTATTTTTGGGAGGAATTTAAAGTTGTAATCCTGAACCTGCTCCGAATCAGATCAGTCGCGAAGCGATAAACCGATAGAATATTTCTAAAAAAAAAAAAACTTCTACTAGACGATTCCAAGAAATGAAAGGCAAAAGGAAAAGAAAAGAAAAGAAAAGAGAGGATCGGTCCTGCCTGCTTTAATTAGTTTTCCCACTTCACTTTCCTTGAACTAAGGGCCTTGAATCAAAAGTAAACCTTGCTGGAATGAAAGCGATGGTAGAAATCTATGCAGTGCATATTGTCAAAATTGTGAATTGATCATAACCCATTTGTGTCAGATCTCAAACTACATATTACCTACTTTCCATAATAACAACATTCACACGCAATGTGAGAGAAAATGAAGTGATTTTTCCGGTGATCATCTACTTAATCTTATACTTAATGAATTCTTTAGCCGCTTAAGTTTGAAATTTAGTAATTGTTTATTCAGACCTAACTTTTTAGTGTCCACTGTTTATATATTTAGTTTGTTTTGTGATGAATTTTAATGACTAAAATTTATGAATATTCTACATTACATTTAAGCAACTTTTTTTTCTTCTTATATTATATACACACATACTTACTTTTACATACACATATATATTATCATATGCGTGTAAAATCCAAACATTTTGTGTTTGATTAATATGGATTTGAGTGTTTTATTTTAACGAAGATCATGTCACTTATAGTCTATTTGAAATGAATTATTTATGCATAAATGAATTAAATGTTTTATATGAATGCAAGGGCTTTTGTGAAAATTTGAGCCAAGTTACCAAAAAGTAAAGAGACCTTCAGATCTTGATGCCTTACAGTTATCGTAGATTTTGCTACAAACCTCATATTAGAGCTAATTTTGGTGTATAAGGAAAGCCAAGAAAATTTATACAACTTTTAAAAATATCAGAGCCCAAGTTCATTAGGAGGGTAAAAATTTGTGTATTGGTATGAAATTATTGTTTTAATGAAAGTGAAAATAGTTTTTTTGGCATTGGGTTGGAAACATCTATCGCCAAAATTAAATGCTTACAGTTTTAGATAAAAAATATCTAAACATGAACCACTTACCTGTGTATCAATTTTTAATTTTTTATATAAGGGTAACATTAGGATTTAAATCTATAACTTCATACAAACTACTGAAGTCCTTTACTAAATCAAGTATCCAAATACGTCGTCAGGGCCCTTACCTTGTGCCATCTTTATTGCATCCTTCAAGGACCCAACTAGTTCCAGAGAATTTCAACACATAAGAAGCCTATTATAGCAACTGCGTAAGTTGTCTACGCACACATGTACACAGAATGATGGACAGTGTGTGTCACGATTTTTTTTTTTTTTTTTTTAGATAGCAAGGAAAAGCAAACAACAAAGAAAACAAAACCCAAAAAACAACAAGCTCAGACTATTCTGGGAGTCGAAACCCCCATCTGGTCTCTCAAGAGGATCTGGTTACACTCCACAGGGGGTGTGTCCAAGATCTCCAGATTCCAATTGTAATATTTATAGGAAGATGCCAACCAGTCGGCTACTGCATTGCCCTCCCTGTACGTGTGGGAAAATTCGATATTCCAGTCTCTTCTAGCCAGGACGTTGATCCTCTTGATCAGAGAACGAAGAGGATGACTTACGTTACATCCTTCCTTTTGAAGGTATATCATCAGAAACGCGGAAGCGCATCGTACCGATGCGATGCAGAATGAAGAACACCGCTTTGATTACCTGGGGTGAAGAAGCGAGCGTGACGATTCCTCACGTTCAGTTCTCCTTCTACGACTCACGATCTGCAGCAACCACCACGAACGGTAGGAAAATCCACTCTGTGGTTGATCTTCCAGGCTATGACTCGAGGGGATCAGGGAGTCGTGTGGGCAACCGTTCAGATGATGAACGTCTGCCTCTTTGTGTTTCTGATGTCTGTAACCCCTAGGAGGCAAAGGGAGAAAAATGTGCTTATATACCTGCCCAATCCAAAACTAACCCTAAGCTTCATGGGTTAGAATTAGTTTTTGGGCTCATCTCACTAAAGCTATTGGGCTTAAGTGAAAAGAGCATACTTAAACCCAACAATCTCCCACTTGCTCTTTTGGACACAAACTTGAGTTCATAAACCCAAGACTATGTAGCCCATAAGCCATCATCATCTGATTATACAACTCATCTCTTGTCTCAAGCTAGCCTGGGGATCTACCATTTGTCACTCATCATGGCTCCTGATAATCTTTGAAGGATTATCTAATTCGGCACTACTCTACTGAAAGCTCGAACGTGAACTCCAAGTAACATGAATATGCATTGCCCCTTTACAGAATGTCTATAATTGATTGATTAATTTTCTGTAACCCAATCAATTATTTATGCACTTGACTATGATAGTTTCTCTAATGGATTATTGCACTGGCCAATGTCTTTAATATCCAAGTACTGAAATATATCAAGAGGACATTTCCTATAAACTCCTTGTTGTTTATCTCATAAATACCGATAATCAAATAATCTCACTCCCAAAATACCGAGTTATTGGCCGTCAATAGATCGAACCTCACCCGTTGGTAAATCAAAGAATGAAAACTATTTGATTACCTATTTATAATAAACTCAGGATTAAGAGCAATTACATAACTATAGTTAACTGGAGATTTGATACCTTATGACAGAAAAACAACCTTAATCAAATCTCTCCTTGATCCTTTCAATGTGAATGTTAATTCACACCAATATCTTACAATGATTCGGACAAAACCATTTCATAAAATATTGCAGCCTAAATAAAGTGCCCAACTTTATTTAACAGCTATGAATCCATTCATCAATTGTGAGCACCTATGATCATGTCCTCCATGAACGTATCCATATGATCATATACTCCACAATTAATCCGGACCTTAGTGTTTGTAAATAGTGTGCGAAATAAATGAAAAATACCTCATTTATAACATCCAGAAAAATAACAATGCCATGATGTCTTGCTCAAAAAGCACAAAATAACAAAGTGAAAAAA